CCCTCAGCCTTCCAAGTAGCCGGAATTACAGGCATGCGCTACCATGCCCGGCTGATTTTTTTATTTATTGTAGAGATGAGGTCTCACTGCCCAGGTGGGTCTCGAACCCGCGGGCTCAGTCAATCCACTCACCTCAGCCTCCCAAAGGCGCGAGATTACAGGTTGAGCCACTGAGCCCGGCTATTATTTTCTATGACTTCTCATAAAATAAAAAATTAGTGCAAGAACATCTAACCTTAGCTTGTTAATTTGTATAAAAAGAAACTAGAGCCAAGTGACATATCCAAGAACATATAGTTAAAGAATATCAAACTCAAGCTAAAATCTAAGTCTTAGCTAAATGATTTTCAATTACTCCAAGATCTTCTACACCTGCACTGTCCAATATAATCGCTGCTAACCACATGTGGCTACTGAAGCACTTGAAATGTGGCCAGTTCAAAATGAGATGTGCTGTAAGTGTAAAGTACACACCATATCTTCAAGATTCAACATCAAAAATAAGGCAAAATATCTATGGGTGGTTTTACTTTTTACATGTCACAATTTAAGTCCGTTATTAAACTTCTTCCAGCTTTTAGCCCAAATCCTTCTCCCCCAACATCCCATAGTATAAAATACAACAAAAATTTTGATTAACTCTCCTTCTCACCTGCCAGAAAATGAAATGTTCCCGGATAATATTCTTCACAGCTTCATTGCTCCATACATCACGGTTGAGGCACTGGCATGCAAAGTCTTGTACATTTTGAATGTTTATCATCAGCCACTTATTCTGCATCTGGCCACACTCTTTGGCCTGTAAGAGTAAAGTTACACAGCACTTGTTAGAAACAATTTATACCTGGTGACTGATATGCTTCAGAATTAAGAAGCTGTCCTCTTTCCATATAAATACTAAGTTTTTCCTCAGGTATGACATCTAGAGTTTTCAGTATTTATATATTCTTTTTATTTCATATTTATTTTTTATTTTATTTTATTTATGAGTCAGAGTCTCACTCCATTGCCCAGGCTGGAGGCATCGTCATAGCTCACCGTTGCCTCCAATTCCTGGGCTCAGGTGATCCTTCCACCTCAGCCTCCCAAATACTGAGACTAGGCCTGTGCCACTACACTTAGCTAATTTTTTTTACTTTTTAAAATTTTTTTGTAGAGACGAGGTCTTGCTATATTGCCTAGGCTGGTCTTGAACTCCCGGGCTCAAGCATCCCTTCACCTCAGCCTCCCAAAGTGTTGGGATTTTAAATGTAAGCCACCATGCCTGGCACATTCTTTATATTTACTTTGTATTTCATATATAATTATATAGTCAATTTCAAGTATTTCTCAAATTTAAATGAATTGTTTTCTCTTTTAGCCACTCTTATTCGTTATAATGACTAAATTTTTAAAGTATGTTTAAACATCCTAAAAAGGATGCCACAAACTTAAGGCTAACAAACCACATAATCCTATTCTTTTCCAATCCCCATTAATAAATATACCAGTTAATGGCTGCAACTGATGTGTATACATGACTTCATAATGTTTTATTTTCTTAAATATAACTTCTATAACATTTCCAAATTCATATTCATCTCAATTATTAGGTGTATGCTATTTTATAGAATCACTCTGAACATTTTAGTAAAAATTGCTGAAAATTTTCTATCCCTTAGAGGTGCTTTCCTAGAAGCAAGATTTCAAAAAAGTGGGATTACTGGGACCAAAGAATGTTTATAGCAAAAACTCCCGAATTTATGGCACAAATATTAATATATCAATCATAAGTCCCTCATCATAATGAAGACCTATCAAATGTTGAAGAATGGAAAAAGAATCATAAAAAAGTAGCCAGGTGTGGTAACTCACGCCAGTAATCCCAGCACTCTGAGAGGCAGAAGCAAGTGCCTGAGCTCAGTGATTAGAGACCACCCTGGCCAACATGGCAAGACACTGTCTTGACAATAAATCAAAAGTTTCAGTAAATATATATGCACAGAATAAAGTCAAGAAGGAAATTTATTAAAATATACATAGTACTTGTTATGGAAATGGATATTATAATTTTATTATTTTTTCTTACTAATTTTCTAATTTTTCCATAATGTCTGTCTAATTTGAATAAAACACAAGCTATAAAGTTAAAATTAGAAAAACTTTATCTTAAATATTTACTTAGTTGTTGAATAGGCTCTTTACATTTTCAGCTAAACATTTTTTTTCCTTGAGTTGGAGTCTCACTCTGTTGCTAAGGCAGGAGTGCAGTGGCATGCTCACGGCCACCACAGCCTCGACCTGCTCAGCCTTCCCGGATTTATTATTTTTTTTAATAGAGATGAGGTCTCACCAAACTGCCCGGGCGGGTCTTGAACCCCTGAGTTTAGGCAATCCTCTCACCTCAGCCTCCCAAAGTGCTGGTATTACAGGTTTGAGTCATCACGCCCGGCCAGCTAAACATTTTTACTTGTATTTATAGTAAATGCTTTTGAAATTAGCAACAATTTTAGTAATTAGGTGCACCTGTAATTGAAAAGCAACTTAAGAATATGAATTTCTTCTTTTGAAATAAGAAATATTACAAAAATTGTTCTGATTCTTCCTACACAATATAATCCAAATTATGCCATTCAATCATTCAATAAAGATTTGATGAAGACTGACTAAAGTATTCTAGGCACTGTGGATACACCACAGTAAATAAACTAAGTCCCTGTGTGTTCATAGAGCTTACAAGCTAGTAGGGAAAGAAAAAAACATAAGAAAACAAGGGGGGGACACCCTAAAACAGAATTTACTTATAAAAAATTACACATTCCTACATGTTTAAACTTCAGACACCTTCAAAGTACTCTCCATTTGATGTAATACACCTATCTAGATGCCTTTTCCACTGCTCAAAAGTTTTTGATCTCGTCAATTTTGATACCTTATAGTGCTTTTTTGTTTCACCTCTTCCACACTGACAAAACGTTCCCTGTTTTTTCATGGGGGGGATAAACAAAAACAAGACGCTTAGGGTGAAATTGGGCGGACAGGAAAGGTGGGACACGTGGGTCATGCCATTTTTGGTCAAAGACTGATGCACGCTCAACATGTGTGGGCATGTGCTCTCATAAATTACTCATGAAATGAGCAAACACACTGAAAAGAATCTTCAAAAAAAAATTCACTAAAGCCTACGCAGCCTCTCACAACACTAACTGGTACACTGATGTCAATGGCTTCCTAGAACATTCACCTAACGAGGGAACCCTATACTACAAGGGGACCACCCTTCAAAAGATAAGTTCAGTTAATTTTAAGTCCCCCTTCATATTCCCTTACCTAGGTCAGACCATTTATTCTGAGGGCTTTGCTCACTTAGCTCCCACTACATGGTTTTCTTGGCTGTTTCGGAAATACACCCAGTTCTTTCCAACATCAGTACCTTTACACAAACTTTTATCTGCTTTTCCCCTGGACTTTCCCATGGTTTGTATTCTCTCACTTCTTTCAGGTTTCTACTTACTTCTCATCCTTTCGGAAATCTCTGATCTTCCTATCTAAAACAGTCCTTTCTCCTCACAATTGCAAACTTATGTGAAACCTGTGAAATTAACCCTGCTTTCAACTTGCCTGGAAGAACAAATTGAATATGGCAACATAGCCACACCTATTTTGTAAGGGACCTTAGAAAATCCAGATACTTAGTTAAAAATTCAAGACACAGCCGGGCTCGGTGGCTCAGCCTGTAATCCCGCGCCTTTGGGAGGCTGAGGTGAGTGGACTGCCTGAGCCCACGGGTTCAAGACCCGCCTGGGCAACTTGGCGAGACCTCATCTCTACAATAAATCAAAAATGAGCCAGTGTGGTAGCGCATGCCTGTAGTTGCAACTACTTGGAAGGCTGAGGCAGAAGGATTGCCGGAGCCCAGCAGGTCGAGGCTGCGGTGGCCGGGAGCGGCCACTGCACTCCAGTCTGGGCGACAGAGTGAGACTCCAACTCAAAAAAAAAAAAAAAATTCAAGACACAAACTTAATGACCCTAGACAAACAAAAACACCCCTCTCCTTTCCTTGCTGCATTTTATTCTTTCTCTCAACAACTACTATAACCTAAAATGAATGTCTATCTCTCTCTCTCTCCATCAAAAACAAACATACAAAATATACACACTATGTTTAGTCTGTTTCTCCTATTAGATTATAAACTCCGAGATAGCAAGGACTTTGTTTAATTTGCTTACCACTAGCTCTCTGTGGCAGAAACTGCTTATTGGTACCAAATGCCTATTCTCCTCTTGTCCCTCTTAGTAACAGAACCTTCCATTTTTAGCTAAGCATCTGGATTTCCTAGTGTCCCCTGCAAAAGGTATATCCTTGAACATGACTAGTTATAATAGTTTCGAAAGCTGTAAAACTATGGCTCAGATTTTCATCCAATATGGGACCAAACCTATGTGTCCTCCCTGAGCACCCAAAAAGTATTCTTCTAATTTTAACATTCACCTCTCTAAACTTCAGTGACTTAATTTTGCATACTACCTTCCTAATTTTTATACACTTATGGATATATTATTAATCATAATGAAATAAATACTTTTCCTGGGAATGTTCATATCATCTAAAGACTTGTAGACTCATTGTCAGATCTCCCTCCATGAAAATAAAAAAAGACAGATAGCCAGTTTAGTATTATCAGTGAAAAACAAGTGACTAGGTTGCTACAAACATAGGCCATAAAATACAAAGGAAAAAAAGGTGATATAACTTAAAATTCAGAGGACAACATCAAAAGAGATTCATATTTTCCCTCAAGGAACAAGCAGAAGAATAACTGCTTTTTATGAGTCCAAAATGACCAAATTAAATCAAGCTCAGTTACTACATTAAGACTTAGAGCATTCTCTTCACTTAGTATGAAGAAAAAGAAAAAAAAGACCCAGAGCAACTCAGAAGCTAATAAAAATAGAAAACATGCCAAAACAAACTCACATCCTCTTTGCCTTTCATATTGCTACTATTCTCTCTCAATGGCTATGCATCACCAAACACTAGAAAGGACAGGTACCTGCCATGTTAAGACCATGAGGAAAGGATGAAGACTGAGGAAACATCTAACGTGACATCTTTGAGATGACATATTAATACCAATGATTCCCTCAACTCTAGGCTTATCACTTGACAAAAATAAACAACTGTGACTACACAGATATTCTTTTCAGACACACTAGGACCCCCACAGAAATACAGGCAAAAGATACCTGTAAACAATTCGTAAATGGCTAACAAACACACACACTATTCTTAGTAGTGGTCAAAGATATAAAAAACATAAGCAAGATTTTTTTTTTTGGTCAGAGTCCCACTCTGTCACCCAGGCTGGAGTGCAGTGTCACACTCACGGCCTCTGTAGCCTCAACTTGCTGGGCTCAGGCGATCCTTCCTCTTTAGCCTTCCAAGTTAGTGGAACTACAAGTATGCACCACCACACCCAGCTAATTTTTTTGATTTACTGTAGAGACGAGGTCTTGCCATGTTGCCCAGCCTGGTCTCAAACCGTGAGCTCAGGCAATCCTCTCTCCTCCACCTCCCAAAGCATTGGGATTACAGGTGTGAGCCACCATGCCTGGCCACAAGATTTTTTAAAGCTATCAAGAATGGCAAAGATTATAAAAGGATACCAGACAAAGCTAATAAAAGGATTTCAAACAAGCAATCCCATACACTACTGGAAGAAATACATTTCATATATTGCTGGTAGAAATAGAAATCAACGTATGATGAGAAACCCAAAACAACCCAGAATTCATTTACTAAAAAACTGTATATTTATTCTTACATTTTAAAACTTCGGTCACCTTCAAAGTGCTCTCCATTTGATGCAATACACCTATCTAGATGCTTTTTCCACTGCTCAACCGTTTTTGCTGTTGTTTCACCTCTTCCACACTGGCAAAATGTTTCCCTTTAAGGACTTTTTTCATCCAGGGAAACAAAAAAAAAGTCACTTGGGATGAGATTGGGTGAATAGGGAAAGTGGGGCGGGGGGTCATGCCTTTCTTGGTCAAAAACTGCTGAACACTCGGCACAGTGTAGACAGGTGCACTCATAAATCACCCATCATAAAATGGGCAATCACATTAAAAGAATCTCCAAAAAAAAAAAAATTCACTGAAATTGAACACAGCCTCTCACAACAACGCTAGCTGGCAGACTGATACCAATGGGTTCCTAGAAAACTTACTTAGGAGGGAAGTCTGTACAAGAGGCCTGTCTCCCCAAAAACTAATTCTGGTCTTTTTTGGGGTCCCTCTCATAAGCTTAGGTATATGATGCAAAAATACTTATTAAAACGCCAATTTTCTATAGACTGAAAATATATTTTTGGACTGAAAATATGAAAGGACTCAGAGTTAAGTCACAGGATCTCCAACAATTTACCGTTTCAAAGCTGCCTTTATGCATTAAGTCAATGGGTGGCCGGAACAGATCTGCAAGGGTAGTTAGTTTCTTATCTATGGCTCCTCCATTTCTTAATTCCTGTTCTTGTCGAACTGTAACAAAGGATGAAAAAGTTTCAATTAGCCATAAATAAAATAGTCATGAATTACAATTAAAAAAAAACCTTGCATCAATTGAAAGAATTATTGAACAACATGCTTGACCTCAAATGCAAGCATCTAATGCTAACTCTAAAAAATTAAAGCACAAAGCGGGTTAGAGAGGGAGTCTTAATATTTGGTGGTATTCCCTAAAGGATAAAAGCAGAAAATTAAATTAATTTTAATAATAATAAAGTAATCACCCAGTCAAAATAATTTCTTTCCATATTCAAAAACTAACTTTAGTATAAGAGGAAACTTTCATCCTCATCTAGTTCCGAAAGTAATTTTAATATGTCTGCTGTGGTTAGCTACACCCCAATCTTTATAGATTCTGGCAGATGACCACTTCTGTCACCTTCCCCTAGAAGGGCAGAGGATTCCCTAGATGACTTTAGTTTAGGTTTTCTTCAATTCTCTCCAAAGTTACAAGAACTATTTGGTCCAAGAGTTTCTCATATATTCTCTAAACAGAACTTTCCCTTCTTTAGGATTCCACTGCTAAATCAGTACTGTATCTTCTAAAGGTATAAGGCCAAAATTTTCATCCTAACTTATCACACAAAAATATTTCAAACAACTATAGCCAATTGTTAATAGGGCTGCTTTGGATGGTGTAGCTTTTTCTTCTATTTTTAAATATTTTATAATAATCATTTTTGTTATAGTCATTCCTTTCACTGACAGATCCTAAGGGAAGTCAGTTTTTTACTTTTTTTGTTTTTGTTTTTTAGTTTTTACTTTTATTACAGTCAGCATTTAAGTGCTCATTCATAAGCTGTTTATGTATATAAATTATCAGATTTCTTACATTTTCTCCATCTCTCTTACTATTCTTCTAAACCAAACAGATTAGAATTTGGAATAATTCAGCTTGGGGGGAGCTAATCACAAACAGACTGAATTCAATTTCACTTTTTTTTTTTTTGAGTTGGAGTCTCACTCTGTCACCCAGACTGGAGTGCAGTGGCCGCTCCCGGCCACCGCAGCCTCGACCTGCTGGGCTCCGGCGATCTTTCGCCTCAGCCTTCCAAGTAGCTGGAACTACAGGCGCATGCTACCATGCCCGGCTAATTTTTTGATTTATTGTAGAGATGCGGTCCCGCTGCCCAGGCGGGTCTCGAACCCACGGGCTCAGGCAATCCACTCACCTCAGCCTCCCAAAGGCGTGGGATTACAGGCTGAGCCACCAAGCCCGGCTTCAATTTCACTTTTTAAACAAGATGAATCCTCAGAGTAATTACGCCGAATATTAATCATTTTCTTCTTTTTAATAGGAAGGGAGCGGGAGAGGAAGATGATAAACTAGTCCATAGATACCTACTAGTTTCAGTTTGAAAATCTCGGAAACCATCAAAAATCGAACGTGCAGGCCGTCGTCTTTTAGGAGCTTTAGGGGAAAAAAATTATAATTAAAGTTCTAAAACATTAATTTTAAAACTTAATTCTAAAAAGTCCTTATTATAAGTATTTGCACAGATTCATAATGGTGCCTCCTCTCAATAATAAAACAAGTTTTTAACTTTCAAGTCATTCATGTTTAATTATCCAACCATCTTCAGTCCAACCACATTGTTTTACCAATGAGAAAATTAAAACCCAGTTAAGAGATCTGACCAAACTCGTGTAAAAAGATAAGAGTCTAAGTGGTGGTATTAGGAAGAAACATTTTAAGGATGACTTCACACAGAGATGATGCTACATACACGCAGCAAATATCCAATTCAGGTTAGCCCAAGGAATCTGATTGCCCTTTGGTATAACACTTGAGTAACTCCAAGTTCTAAACCATAAGACGTAGGAACTATAGTGGTGGCCAGGTTCAGTGGGTGGCTCATGTCTATAATCTCAGCACACTGGGAGGCGGAGGCTAGAGGATTGCCTGAGCCTGTGGGTTCGAAACCAGCCTGGGCAACATGGCGAAACCTCATCTCTACAATAAGTCAAAATATCAGCCAGGCATGGTGGTGCATGCCTATGGTTCCAGCTACCTTGGAAGGCTGAGGTGGAAGGATCACCTTGAGGCCACCAGGTCGAGGTTGTGGTAGCCATGAGCATGCCACTGTACTCCAGCCTGGACAACAGAGTGAGACTCCGACTCAAAAAAAAGACTTAGGGACTACTACTTAGTGAGTGGACACACATGCAGAATTAAAAACTGTGGAAGAAAACATTTTTCCACAGTTATATAATGATTTAGTGACAGGAAAGCATATAGAACCAAGGTCTTCCACTACCTCTGTACAGTGTTTATAACCCAATCTTTAAGTATTTTGCAGATAAGTTCTAGAATGCAATAATCAAAAATGTTATCTTCAGCCGGGCTCAGTGGCTCAGCCTGTAATCCTGCGCCTTTGGGAGGCTGAGGTGAGTGAATTGCCTGAGCACGCGGGTTCGAGACCCGCCTGGGCAAGTTGGCGAGACCTCATCTCTACAATTAAAAAAAAAAAGAGCTGGGCATGGTAGTGTGTGCCTGTAGTTCCAGCTACTTGGAAAGCTGAGGTGGAAGGATCGCCGGAGCCCAGCAGGTTAAGGCTACGGTGGCCAGGAGTGGCCACTGCACTCCAGGCTGGGCGACAGAGTGAGACTCCAACTCAAAAAAGAAAAAAAATGTTATCTTCCTATATGTATGTACTTTTAAAAATAAAAGAAAAAAAGCAGATAATTTATATACATTACAATACATAAGGATTTTCAATATGGATAACAGTTTTGTTTTGTTCCAAATAGCTGGAACTACAGGTATGGACCACCACACCTGGCTAATTTTTTGATTTACTTAGAGACGAGGTCTCACCAAGTTGCCCAGGCTGGTCTCGAACCCTTGGACTAAGGCAATCCTTTCACCTCAGTCTCCTAAAGTGCTGGGGTTATAGGCTTGAGCGACCGTACCCAGCTATAACAGTTATTAAGTTGGCTTATGGCAAGCCTGGCCAGCATGTAACCAGAACAATGCTCTATGTTAATAAATGATGAGTCGGGCACAATGGCTCACACCTGTAATCCCAGCACTTCGGGAGATGGAGGCAAGAGGATTGCCTGAGTCCAGGAGTTTAAGACCAGCCTGGGCAACATGGCAAGACCTTGTCTCTACAATAGATCAAAAAATTAGGTGGGTGTGGTGACATGCACCTATAGTTCCAGCTGCTTGGAAGGCTGAGGTGCAAGGATTGCCCAAGCCCAGCAGGTTGAACCCACCCAGGTCTGCTTGGGTGACAGAGTGAGATTCCAACTCAAAAAAATATTAAAAAGTAAATGATAGCCGAGCTCAGTGGCTCAGCCTGTAATCCCGCGCTTTGGGAGGCTGAGGTGAGTGGACTGCCTGAGCCATGGGTTCCAGACCCGCCTGGGCAACTTGGCGAGACCTCATCTCCACAATAAATCAAAAATTAGTGGTAGCACGCGCCTGTAGTTCCAGCTACTTGGAAGGCTGAGGCGGAAGGATTGCCAGAGCCCACAGGTCGAGGCTGCAGTGGCCGGGAGCGGCCACTGCACTCCAGTCTGGGTGACAGAGTGAGACTCCAACTCAAAAGAAAAATAAAATAAAATAAATGATGATTAGTAGCAGGATTAGACAGAGAACCAAAAAGCCCCTATCCAACGTCAATGCATCTTTCCCAACATCCTTGTGTTTGTCATTAAACAGGATAATTATTTCTATCCAGAACTACTGGGTAAAAAGCAAAACAAGAAAAAGCAACAAAAAATGCAGAGCCACATGTTAAAAACTTCATTTTTGTTTAAAATATATTTGTATGTAGATCATTCATGCATACAATGCATACGTGTGTATGAGTATTTATGCTAAAGAATCACAACATCATGTCTGGAAAAATGGGCTTGTTAAAAGTTTTTCATGATTTAATACTCAATTTTTAAAAAATTTTAAAATTTTAAATCTCTACTTCCCTCCCTATTTAAGAAGAAATGTTACTCTTCAATCTTGAAACTATACTGGACCAAAAGCTACTGCTTCAAACATATGTTTCAAGCAGGAATAATATAGCCTGCCAAATAAGGCCTTCTAAACACTAGTTATCTGAGCAGGGCATGGTGATGCATGCCTGTAGTCCCGGCTACCTGGGAGGCTAAGGCAGGAGGATCACTTGAGCCAAGGAGTTCGAGTCCAGCCTAGACAACATAGTGAGACCTATCTCTAAAAATAATAAAAAATTAAAATTTAAAAGGCAGGTGCGCTGGGCATGGTGGCTCATGCCTATAGTTCCAGAACTTTGGGAGGGGAAGGTGAAAGAATCGCCTGAGCCCAGGGGTTCGAGACCAGCCTGGGCAACTTGGTGAGACCCTGTCTCTACAATAAATCAAAGAATTAGCCACGCATGGTTGCACATGCCTATAGTTCCAGCTACTTAGAAGGCTGAGGCAGAGGGATCACCTGAGCCCAGCAGGCTGAGGCTGTGGTAGCTGTGAGTGTGCCACTTCACTCCAGCCTGGGCAAGAGTGAGACTCTGATTCAAAAAAAAGAAAGAAAGAAAGAAAAAAATAAAGGCAGGTACAGTGGCTCACACCTGTAATCCCAGCACTTTGGAAGGCCAAGGCAAGGCGGATTGCTTGAGGCCAGGAGTTTGAGACCAGTCCGGAAAATGTAGTGAGACCCTGTCTCTACACAAATTAATTAACTAGGCATGGTAGCACACGCCTACAGTGCTAGGTACTCAGAAGGCTGAGGAGAGTGGATTGCTTGAGCTAGGAGAGTTCAAGGCTATGGTGAGCTATGATCATGTCACTACACTCCAGCCTGAGTAACAAAGCAAGATCCTGCCTCAAACAAAAACTAGTCATCTGATACTTTTTTTTTTTTTTTTTTTTTGAGTTGGAGTCTCCCTCTGTCGCCCAGACTGGAGTGCAGTGGCCGCTCCCGGCCACCGCAGCCTCAACCTGCTAGGCTCCAGCGATCCTTCCGTCTCAGCCTTCCAAGTAGCCAGAATTACAGGCATGCGCTACCACGCCCGGCTGATTTTTTGATTTATTGTAGAGATGAGATCTCGCTGCCCAGGCAGGTCTCAAACCCGCGGGCTCAGGCAATCCACTCACCTGAGCCTCCCAAAGGCGCAGGATTACAGGCTGAGCGGACGAACCTGGCTTCATCTGATACTTTTTAACCATAATAATTAAGAAAGCAAGGATGTCTTAGGATAAGACATATAGAATAGCTGCACAAGAAAGCATATTATTATAGAAAGGTAGTACATAAAAGGTAATTTTCATCTACTTTTAAACTGCCAAAGGCAAGCCAGTCCAATAGTCCACATTATTTCACATCCCCTCCCAATTTCTCCCTTCTCTATTATTCACTTGATCTGGGTATTCTCACTAGTTCCTCTTATTGCTATCCTTCTCCCAACTCCTTTTACTTTTTGGGCTCATAACCTGCTGCTCCCTTTTGCTTCCCTTCATTTATCCTAAATCTAATCAAAAACCACACCTCAGACCACAGCACCTCTCGCCCAATAACCATTACTCCTGCCTGCCTCTCTACTGTGGTCTCCTGGCAATTCCAAGACATCTGTCACAAGCAAACATCCATCCTCTGCACTTACTCTACAGCCCACACAATAGGCATGCTCATCACTGAGCCCACAGAGGCTAAGCTACCAAGAGCCAAGAGAGATTCAAATGAAGCCTCAGAGTCAGAAGAGGAGAGGGACAGGTGAAAACAACTGGGAGAGAAGAGTGGCACTGTTTCACAATTTCACAAATCTCTCTTAAATTTGGCTTAGAAGACATACAGATTTTCAGATCTGCTTCTTCATTCTTTTAGATCTAATTATTTTAGTTCAAGTATAGAAAGAAAACCAAAACTTAGCCTAACACACACATGAAGTTGTAAAAGGGAAAAGCTTTTTCGAGTCTTTTAAATAACTGTGCATATTATTCTTTGATACTACCTCAAATCCCAAATAGTAGTAGTTTCTTAAAGATTAGTTGCAAACTAATTTGAAACCCTGTCAATGAGCTTTCCACATTCGGTTCCACATACCCACTGTTCTATGTGGTATGTAGTCTCTAAGATAGCCCCAATCATCCCTGTCTCCTGGTATTCACAACCTGTGTGTGACTACCTTGAGTACAGACAGGATTGAATAGAATGTGGTAGAGTAAGGAAACACTTTCAGATTAGGTTTCCAGCTGTGTTGCCCCCTCTGGTTCTCTCACTTGCTGTGTTGTAAGGAACTAATACCTTCAGCCAACAGCCATGTGAGTGAGCTCAGGAGATCCTCTCCATTAAAGCTCTGAAATAACTTATAACCTGGCTAACACCTTGACTGCATCCTGTTAAGACACCCTAACCAAAGGCACCCTGGCACCCCCAGCTAAGCTACACCTGGATTCCTGACCTCAAGAAACTGTAAGATTAAAAAATGTTTGTTTTATCAGGCAGCTTAATTTTAAAGCAATTTTTGTTACTCGGAAATAAGTATCTCATACAATACCATCTTGCAGTCTGAATGGATCTTTTCCCTATACATGATTTTGTACTATCATGCATAGATTATCTGAAAATATTTATTATCTAAGTGCTGTAAATATCCCAAAACTTAATGGTTTAATTATACAATATTAAAAATATCATCTGCTTAATGTCACCACTAATCTTATCAGAAAGTCTTTAAGTACTGGGACAGCATCAAGTTCACAATGGCAGATACAAATTTTCTAAAATTCAAATTCTGAAAGCTCTTTTTTTTTTTTTTGAGTAGGAGTCTCACTGTTACCCAATCTGGAGTACAGGGGCACACTCATGGCCACCGCAGTTTCAACCTGCTGGGTTCAGGTGATCCTTCCACCACAGCCTTCCAAGTAGCTGGAACTACAGACATGCACCACCATACCTGGCTAACTTTTTGATTTAATGTAGAGAAGAGGTCTCACCATGTTGCTCAGGCTACTTCTCCAAAGATCCGTCAAGTAATAAGACTAATAACGACTTCCTAACTGTATAAAATCATTCTCATTTCCCTCCTTGCTGTATGTCAATTAAGAGGTAAACAGCCGGGCTCGGTGGCTCAGCCTGTTAATCCTGCACCTTTGGGAGGCTGAGGTGAGTGGATTGCCTGAGCCTGCGGGTTCGAGACCCGCCTGGGCAACTTGGTGAGACCTCATCTCTACAATAAATCAAAAATTACCTGGGCGTGGTAGCACGCGCCTCTAGTTCCAGCTACTTGAAAGGCTGAGGCGGGAAGGATCGCCGGAGCCCAGCAGGTGGAGGCTGCAGTGGCCGGGAGCAGCCACTGCACTCCAGTCTGGGCGAGAGTAAGACTCCAACTCAAAAAGAAAAAAAAAAAAAAAAAAAAAGAGGTAAACAAAGAGAAAAGTGGGTTTTAAATGGAACTCCTTTGCCTATTCAACAGCAAGATGGCACAGAATACATTTCCAAGAGTCCTACCCCCTCAAAGATCTGCCTTATTTTTACAACAAACAAAAGATAAAGCTTTCATGAGCATTACTCCTTAGCTCCAAAATCCATTCACAACATTTATATATAAAAAATTATAATCAAGGCCTTATTACATCTGATATATTTACAGCACAATGACAAGCTAAACTGAATAGTTCAGAAAGCACATTACACTACGGTATTCAGACCTTACAGTTTTCCTCTTGCCTTCATATAGTTCTGAATCTAGAAAGTATATTCTTTCATTTCGTACTGTATTAAACTCCAAAGCTACCAAGTTAAAGATCTATCCTATAAAATTCCCAACTAAAGTGTTTTTCAAATCAAAAGATATGGTCTCTATATTTTTCTTCATCCTGTTCTTAAAATTATTTTTCCTCCTCTTAGTTTACCTAAAAAACTTTATATAGGTTGCTTGTTCTTAACTTTCAAAACAAACTATCTGCATTTACTGGTCTCAAATATATATATATATATTTCTCCATCTCTGCCCAATCAGATTATAACTCCATTTCTCCTTTTTAAAATAAACCCATTAATGTTAAACTATCTGGTTCACAAAAAGAAAATAAGTACTTATTAAACTAAGTATAAATTGTTCTTAAATCTGATTAAATATGCCATCCTCTTTCATCAATCTCTACTACACTGATATCACAATTTTTTGTTATTTTCTTCTTTGCTCAAAATAGAAATAGCATTTCTAGAAATTAAGAGAAAGAGAAGAAAAGGCATGTCAAGAAGTAGGGATATGACAGTCAAAGCAGGTATCATATACAGAAAACAAAAAATAATCAGAGTCTTTTATCTTATGATAGATTAGTTTCCATTACAAGACAGCAATTCTTTTTGCTAATTTTCCTCCTTTTGATCTTCTGCAAACAGTATCAATGTTTAAATCTGCTTCACTCTGTGAACCACTGCTATAACTTTCCTGAGGGGAAATACAAGAAAAGAACTGACTCTATACTTGAAATAACAATCTCTGAGCAGGCCTTCACATATTTTTATAGTTTCATTAAAATCCTAAAGACAACAACAAAGTAAATAAAGCTTAGGAGAAAAAGTAAACTTACCACCAAATAAAGGTTCTGGTTCCACCAATATTTCCTGCTTTTGAGGAATTGGGGCACGGACTTCTTCTCTATTAAAAAAAAAAAAGTGGGAAAACTTCAAAATGAAAACTTTTCTGACATCTGTTTTCTTTCTGTAATTACTGTGAATGAATTCAAATTGACAAGTAAAATGACACAGTGACTGTTAGGAGTCACAGTAATCATGAATTTTAGATGGTTTCTATATAAAGAGCAACTGGAACCAAGCATATATAGCTCAAATGATTTAAACAGAAATATAACAGATATTTCCCTTTCCATCTCAAGTCCCCTACCCTAAATTCTTTCAGAAAAAAAGAAAAAATTTTCCCCAAAAAATCAGGCAAAAATAAGTGGAAAAATATAGGTTTAATAAAAGTAATATTACATCACTACTGCATCAATAAATAGATACTTGCATCACAAGGCTATATTAAAGTAAACTTAAGCAAATAGAGAATTTTATACTAATTTGAAAAAGGCTAACATGAGTATAATCTTGCATTATTTACCAAATAGATTCTAATATACAGATTTTTTAAATACTCATCTTTAAAAAGCCTATTTTCTTCAAAGTTTACCTCCAGAAGGTTTATTAATAATCCATCTCTCTCAGTAAAAAATACTCATTATGATATACTATAAAAATGATGTGTACCTTTAAAAATCAGTTTATTTTTATAGCTGTAACTCAAATACTAAACTTTGGTGATTAATGTTCATAGCAAAGAGCAACTTGCGAATTCCTTATCTTCCTGCTTATAAGTATTATAAGCATATAAGTAAGTTTATCTATTTATCTATCTATCTGGAGACAAGGTCTCGCTCTGTCACACAGGCTGGAGTACAGTGATACTATCACAGCTCATTGCAGGCACACCAGCACACCCAACTAATTTTTTAATTTTCTGTAGAGCCCAGCAGGTCAAGTCTGCAGTGGCCATGAGCATGCCACTGCATTCCAGCCTGGGTGACAGAGTGAGACTCCGACTCAAAAAAAAAAAAAAAATCAAATTGAGCAGAATGGAATATCATACCTGAAATATATGGCCAACATTTACAGGAAAAAACCTTATAAGATATTAATGATCTTTAAAGTTCAAGCTTCATGTGGAAACAATATTATTCTGGAATCTAGAATTAGATAAACAAAAGAGGCAATTATGCCTGTATGTGATCTGGCTTTTAAAATTTATCTCTAATTTAGTAAAAACAAAACTCTGGTCTTTTGCTTATTACTATCGAAATAATTCCTCGTTTACTGTTTCATGTTGTACACAATGAGAGCTATAAAAAATTTTGAGCATTAAAGTCTCATGTGAAGACCTAATAAATTTTTTTGTTTCAAAATCAATGACTTTCCTTTGAGCTAGGTTCATGTCTATTATTTTCTAAAAACTACTAAAATTTTGCCCAAGTTATTATTTCAACGGTCACTGGTATCAAATGTAAACAACAAAATCACCAAATCTCTTCACCATTTATTACTATTTTCCACATACTGAAGATGCTTCTGATTATTAACTACATGAAAGGTATAAAAGACCAGAATTATTTTTTCAAAAAATTTGCATGGCAACTTGAAACTTTTCTGGGACAAAGGAAGAAAAGTTAAAATTGGGAAATATGAGCTTTACTTCTGATCTGCGACTTAATTTCTGTGTAGTTTGGGGAAATGGCTATGTCCCTACTTCTTCATGGATTAAAAATGGCTTTTTTATTTTTTTTTTTTGCTAATGTGGGGCACATAGGCCCTGTCTCCTAGCCATAAGCCAATCCTAGTTGGGTAGCTCCAAGCCCCCTCCACATCTCAGACTTCAAATTGAGCCTATATATTTCTTTTGAGGATCAAACAAGACATGACAGTGCTCTAGAAACTTTTTAAGAACGAAAGTACAGGCCAGGTGTGGTGGCTTATGCCCATAACTGGAGAACTTGAGGAGGTTGAGGCAGGAGGATTGCTTAAGCCCAGAAGTTCGAGACCAGGCTGAGCAACACAGCAAGACCTCATCTCTACAAAAATGATGAAAACATTAGCCAGGCATGGTAGTGTGCTTGTAGTCCCAACTACATGGGAGGCTGAGGCTGGAAGATCACCTGAGCCCAGGAGGTTGAGGCTGCAGTGAGCCATCACCACGCCACTGCCCTCCAGTCTGGGATACAGAATGAGACATTTCCTAAAAAAAAAACAAAAACAAAAAACCAAACCACGACCAGGCGCAGTGGCTCATGCTTATAATCCTAGCACTTTGGGAGGCCGAGGCGAGAGGATTGCCTGAGACCAGGGGTTCAAGAGCAGCCTGGGCAACTTGACGAGACTTCATCTCTACAATAAATCAAAAAATTAGCCAGGTGTCATGGTGTGTGCCTGTAGTTCCAGCTACTTGGAAGACTGAGACGGAAGGATCACCTGAGCCCAACAGGTTGAGGCTGCAGTGGCTGTGAGCAGGGTGCCACTACACTCCAGACTGGATGACAGAGTGAGACTCCAACTCAAAAAAAAAAAAAAAAAATCCCAAAGCAAACAAAAAAACTTCCACTTGATAATTTCTCAGACACTTTCAAAAAAAATTTTTTTTCATAACCAGAGAATCGACCTGGCTTCGATAAAAATGTAATTACTCAATTTTAGGCAAGAGGTAGCTCCTAACAATAAATGATAAATCCATACTCTGTGTGAGGTCTGACGGTGGAGACACTTGCTGAACTGGTACTGGGCTCTTCAGCGATTCCGCCACCATCCAAAAACATAGTGACGGCCATCTCCAGATTATTGTTGCAGGCTTCAAGCATATGTTTTCCTACACTTTCACTTGCACCTGAAACAGCAAAAAGACAAGAAAAAAAGTTTTTTAAAAAATGGCAGTTTCTTACATTCAGCACATATTAGAATTACCAAGTAAATTAATTGTGCTTTTTCCCTTTTAAAATTAGTGAGTTTTTTTTCTTAAATCCATTTGTTTACTTCTGCACTGTTGTCTGGATGGTGAGAAATAGACAGATCTAGAAAAGAATGTATGTTGAGTAAGGTATGGTCACAAGATAAAAAGGAATGTGGCAGCCATTGCCTTGCTAGACTCTGGTGTGGCCAGAGTGTGGCCATGTACTCTCTGAGTTATGGCTGTCGCTATGATTCCTTGCTTTGGCCCCCTCCCCCACCTTGCGCACTCGCGCTCGCTCTCCCTCTTTCTCTAATTTATCCTTTTTCTCCTTTTGTTTTGAGTTGGAGTCTCACTCTGTCACCCAGATTGGAGTGCAGTGGTCACTCCCAGCCACTGCAGCCTCAACCTGCTGGGCTCCAGCAATCCTTCCGCCTCAGCCTTCCAAGTAGCTGGAACTACAGGCGTGTGCTATCATGCCCGGCTAATTTTTGATTTATTGTAGAGATGAGGTCTCACCAACTTGCCCTGGCGGGTCTCGAACCTGTGGGCTCAGGCAATCCACTCACCTCAGCCTCCCAAAGCGCTGGAATTACAGGCTAAGCCACCAAGCCCGGCTTAATTTACCCTTAAATAATACTTTCTAATCTTAAAAAAAAGGAATGTAGCAGCATTAAAACAGTGGTCTTCCTTCATAATAAGATAAAAATGAAAGCATTTATTTGTCATTTCTTTTTATCTCTCTTTTGTCATTTCTTTCAGGCCCAACATACAATTGTTAATAAACTGAAAAAAAATTGAAAAAAAACAAAGAAAAATAAAAGACTACATTCTAGAAAGTTAGATGCTTTCTGTCACAAAAAAAATGCATATCAGTTAGCATTTCTGTTTCTATTAAAAAGAAAATATGACCCGTACAGGCTCACACTTATAATTCCAGCACCTTGGGAGGCCAAGGTGAGAGGACTGCCTGAGCCCAGGGGCTTGAGATCAGCCTGGGTGACTTGGTGAGACCTCCTTTCTACAATGAATTTTTTAAAAAGTTAGTTAGGCATAGTGGCACACACCTGTAGTTCCAGCTACTCGAAAGGCTGAGGCGGAAGACTCAACTGAGCCCAGTAGGTCAAGACTGCAGTGGCCTTGAGCATGCCACTGCCCTCCAGTCTGGGCAATAGAGTGAGATTCTGACTCAAAAATAAGTAAAATAAAATAAAATAAGAAAACATCAGGGACCATATATAGTAGCTCATGCCTATAATCCCAACACGTTGGGAGGCCCAGGCAGAAGGATCCCTTGAGACCAGGAGTTCAAGACCAGACAGGGCAACACAGTGAGATCCCGTCTCTATAAAAATAATAGGTATAATCCTGTAGTTCCAGCTACTCAGGCTGAGATGCTAGGATGACTTAAGCCCAGTAGACAGAAGCTACAGTGAGCTGTGATCGTGCCACTATACCCTAGCCTAGAAAACAGAAAAAAACCCCATCTCAAAAAAAATAATAATAATTTTTTTTTCAAAGAAAGCATCTTTAGGCCAGGCATGGTGGCTTACATCTGTAATCCCAGCACTTTGGGAGGCAGAGGCAAGAAGACTGAATGAGTCCATGGGTTCGAGATCAGTCTGGGCAACATGGCAAGACCGTATCTGTACAATAAATCAAAAAATTAGCCAGGCATGGTGGCACATGTCTGTGGTTCCAGCTACTTGGAAGGCTGAAATGGAAGAATCACCTGAGCCCAGCAGGTCAAGGTTGCAGTGGCTGTGAATGTGCCACTGCACTCCAACCGGGTGATAGAGTAAGAATCCAACTCAAAAAAAAAAAAACAAAAAAAAAAGCATGTTTAATAACAATGGCAGAGAAATGAGATGAAACATTTTTATCTAAGACATAACTAAGTCAAAATCTGGTAAGAAATGTCAATCTCCATCATTTAAAACTGGTCCTATCACAAACTTACTCATTTGTAAATAAAGTAAAGCCTACATAATCTGTTAAACAAAATGTAAATTGGTAAAGTCCTTTAAGAAAACAATTTTATAACATATATTCAAGAAACAAAAATACTCATTCCTTTTTTGACTGAGTAATTTGGACCTCTAGTCAAAAGAAAAAAATCTGCATAAAATACTACATGCATAAACATGTTCACATAAATGTCCAGCATATCGTCAGTCAGTACTGAAAAATTGAAAACAACATAAATGTCCAATAAGAGTGGAATGTAAATTTTAGTATCTATTTGATGTAGCATTTTGTGGCCACTAAAAAGCATCTCAGGCTTTCCATTTGGGATGATTTTTCTGTTATCTAAATTATGACTCTTAGAATCTCCTTCTGGTGGTAGTAAATGTGCTTCTAAGTTTTTGTCTGAAAATGTCTTTATTTTCCTGCCATTCCTGACAGCTTTACTGTATGCCATTTCAAGGCTGACAGCTATTTTTTCTCATACATTGACGACAGCATTCCAATGTCCCCTGGCTTCTGTTGTTGCTGCTAGGAAGTCAGCTGCCAGACTAAAGCAAATGTTTTTACAGCAATCTGTTGTTTCTTTCTAGTTGCCTTTAAAATCTTCTCTATCTTTAGCCTCCTACAGTTTCACTCTGACTTATCAGAACTGATTTTTGTTTTTTAGTCAGGGTCTCACTATGTTGCCCAGGTTGGAGCGCAGGCACAATCATAGCTACTGCAGTCTCAACCTGCTGGGCTCAGACAATCCCTTCACCTCAGCCTCCAGAGCAGCTGGGCTCACAGGCACATGCCACCACACTCAGCTAATTTTTTAATGTATTGTAGAGATGAGGTCTTGCCATGTTGCCCAGGCTGGTCTCAAACTCCTGGGCTCCAGTAATCCTCTCACCTCAGCCTCCCAAAGTGCTGGGATTACAGGCATGAGCCACTGCGCTCAGCCCAGGGCTGATTTTATTTATCCTCCTTAGGATTTGCTGGACTTCTACCCACATGAAGATTATCTTTTATCAATTCTAGAAACTTCTCAGCCCAAATTTCTATTTGACCATTGCCTCACTCCCTCAGTCACACTTCTGGAATTCCAGTTAGATGTATGTTAGAACGCTTCACTCTTTTATGTCTCAACCTTTTTCTTTCATATTTTTATTGGCTCTTTATCTATATTGTGTTCTGGGTAATATCTTCAATGCTATCTTTCAGTTCACAGCTAAGACCATTCTCTCTAGCAACGTCAATGTGTTTCTTTACCTATTTCTTTAGTTTTTAATTTCAGATAATTTTTTATAATGAGAAAGTTCTGGGTTTTGTGGGTTTTTTCCCCTTCAACTGCTTGGTCATGTTTTGGAGACCCTGAATTCACACTATTTCAAGTTTTAATTTCTTTAAACATTTTCATCAAACTTGTCAGAATTACTAAGACAAAATACAAATTTTCTAGTCCCTATGGGTCACTGTCTCTTGTTTCTGCTGGATCTTGCTCACTATGCCATAGTTTTTACACTCTTTTTTTTTTTTTTTTTACTGTGATCTTGTGTGCCTTGGAATTTTAATCTGCAGATTTTTGAAGGCTGAGTTGTAGGTACATCCTCCTAAGCGGATTTGGTTTGATACATCTTGCAAGGTATCCACAGACACTATCAAACAGAGACCACTTTAAATACATTCCTAACTTGCAAGTTTTTCAAGACCATAAGGGAAATGTGACTCTGTAATCATCCTTGTTATAAACTTAGTGAAGATATCCATTTCCATATACTCCCTTCCTCACTACCAAGATTGAAACAAAGTCTCAGCTTCATGAATGGGAAGGGTCTCTTTTCGGACACCCTCTTCCCCCTCTCCCAGGCAAGCCTTCCAAGTTTTGTTTCTTGTGCCCTATGAGGTTATCAAAAGGAAAATTCAAAGCCATTCAGTGTGGACAGATTCTACTAGGCTTCCTTTAAAGCTAGCTAACATCTGCATTCTTCATTTTTAGACTGTTGCCAGCACAATGATGCAGTTCAGAAGATTCTTTAAAATACACATTTTATTCAGCATTTCTTTCCTTAGCAGTCAGTTTATTTATGTTATCTCTACACTTAAGCCTTACTGCAAGGAATGCAAGTGCTGATTCTACTCAATATCTCTTATTTGTTTTCTCTTCTGTACTACCACTGCCTCTAAGGCTTTGGATCAAGTCCTTAATACTTCTTACCTGGGTTACTACGACAGGCTCCTAAATGATCTTTTTTCCCTCTTCTACTTGCTGCTGAGGGTTCAAAATACAAGTCTGATTATATCATTTCCCTGTTTAAAATTTCTGAACGGCTTTCTCTTATCACCTACAGTATAGATTCTAAAATCTCTGTGATCAGGAAAGTCCTTTGTGATCAGGGCACAGCTTACTTCTCTGGCTTTGCCTTTCCTCTTTCCTTCCCAACACAATTTACTATACGCAAACTAAATTACGTGCTTGGAATGCCCTTATCCTCATCTCCCCCTCATACGGTTCTTGCATGCTAAGATCACCAGAAATGTTAACTTCCCCCTATTCCCATCTTTGTAATACTGCTCTATTACATACATGGATATAATAGTAAGCAGTAAGTGTCAGTTTATTTTCTGGCACTCCCAAAAGAGTGGAAGGATTCTGAACACAGGAGCTGGTTCTCTTGGCTTGGTATTCTCAGCACCTACCATCATGTTTGCTTGCATGTGATCGATGTCTCATAAGCTGACTTTAGAGATATGTCACAGTACTTTAGCTCACTAGCTACTACAGCAGGGAAAGATGGGACAGGGCTCAGTCAAAACCACTGGCAACTCTCCCATATCTTTGGGAATTTTGTACTGTGTGCATTTATGTCGTAAATTTAATTTATAAAGCAATATGGTTACACTGTGGAAATAAACAGAAAATTACCTTGAACAAATGGATTTAAGATAAAAGTTCCAGTAAAAGCATCACATACAAACTTCAAAAGGGTTAT